GCAGCAAAGCGATGCACTTCTGCGTTCGTTCCGCTGCAGCTGCAGATACACCCCAAACACACAAACACACACAGCAACAAATCCTGCTGCTGCTGCTGCTGTTGTTGCTGCTGCTGCTGCTGTTGCTGCTGCTGTCGCTGCTGCTGCTGCTGCTGCTCGACCCCATAGACCCCTGCCTATCGGCATCGATGCCTTGCAGCTGCTGTTGCTGTTGCTGTTGCTCCTGCTGCTGCTGCTGTTGCTGCTGCTGCTGCTGTTGCTGCTGCTGCTGCTGCTGCTTCACCTGAGGAAGGCCTTGTCGCTGTTGCTGCTGCTGCAGCAGACGGTGGCGCCGCTGCTGACGAGCTGCTGCAGCTGCTGCAGCAGCTCAAATGCATGGGGTGCTTCCTCAGTTGCTGCTGCTGCTGCTTCTCCTGCTGCTGCTTCTGTTCCTGCTGCTGCTGCTGCTGCTGCTGCTGCTGCTGTGGGGGCTGCCAGCGGCATCTCCATGTAAGCAGCAATTAGCTGCAGCTGCAGCAGACGGAAGGAATCCTGATGCTCTGCTGCTACCTGCTGCTTGCTGCTGCTGCTGCTGCACAAGGACTGCGACAGCAGCGGCAGATGCTGCAACCAACACACACACACCAGCAGCAGCAGCAGCAGCAAAAACTGCAGCAGCAGCAGCTACAACCAGCAGCAGCAGCAGCAGAAAATACTGCAGCAGCAGCCACTGTAGCACCAGCAGCAGCAGCAGCAGCAGCAACTTCAACTAACAGCAGCAGCAGCAACGACAAAGAGCAGCAGCAGCAGCAGCTACACCTAGCAACAGCAGCAACTACAACAAGAAGCAGCAGCAGCAGCAGCAGCAGCAGCAGCAGCAGCAGCAGCTGACCTGCAGCGAACGGAAGATGAGTGCAGCAAGGGCTCTGTCTAGAGTCTCAGGTTCAGGCAGAGCTGCTGCTGCTGCTGCTGTTGCTGCTGCTGCTGCTGCTGCTGTTGCTGCTGCTGTTTGATCCCGCTGCAGCTGCAGCAGAGCCTCCGCCTGCCCTCCTGCTGCAGCAGCAACAGCAGCAGCAAATCGAGGCAGCAGCCGCAGCACGTCCCTGTCTACACCTCCGCAGCAGCCCTCCAGCTGCTGCTGCTGCTGCTGCTGCTGCTGCTGCAGCTGCTGCAGCTGCTGCTGCTGCAGCATATCGCAGCGTTTATTTGCTGAGCAAGGGAACTGTGAGTCTCCAAGCGACGCTGCTGCTGCTGCTGCTGCTGCATTTGCTGCTGCTGCTGCTGCTGCTGCTGGTGCTGCTGAGACAGCAGCAACTTCCCCCAAGAACAAACCGCCCGGCTGCTGCTGCCGCAGCAGCAGCACCAAGTTGCTGCTGACTTCCTCCTGCACCGCAGCAGCAGCAGCAGCAGCAGCAGCAGCAGCAGCAGCAGCAGCAAAAAATTAGGCCGCAGCGAGTTCTTGCTGTTGCTGCTGCTGCTGTTGCTGCTACTGCTGTTGCTGCTGCAGCTTTGCACTAGGGGCAGCAGCAACAGCAGCACCAACGAAACCAGCAGCAGCAACGGCAACAACAACAGCAACAGCAGCAGCAGCAACAGCAGCAGCAGCAGCAACAGCAACACCAACAACAGCAGCAGCAGCAACAGCAGCAGCAGCAACAGCAGCAACAACGACAGCAGCAGCAACATCAACAACAACAACAACAGCAACAACAACAGCAGCAGCGCTAGCAGCAGCAGCAACAGCAGCAGCAGCAGCAGCAGCAGCAGCAACAGCAGCAGCAGCAGCAGCAGCAACA